AGGCTTAGTTTTAACAAAAATTAGACTAGTGAAAATTTCGTACAATTTTTACATTTACAGTTTCTTATAGGATAAATAGTTCCAAAGTACGTACGTTTCATTCTTCTGTGCTGCTTTTTAATGTGTATTAAATTTTTTCACCTGTGAGGTGTCGTATTCCTATTCATGGCCAAGCTGGCTAAATACATAGTGTATAATAACTTCAACTATAACAAATACTGATTGATTTCTAATGTATAGTCGTTTAATCATAAATATCTAAAATCTAGAAAAAATAGTAAATCTGGCAGCACTGCTAAGTGCTGCGAGTATACATGGAATATACTGCGAGCATTAGGAATCCGGTCCCGGTAGATAATTTCAGCCGGTTGATATTTAGAAGGAATAGTTGCCTACGAACTGGCGATTTACCATACCATAATAGTAATCAGTGTATAGGTTTTAATTAATCACTAAATAGAGACTTGGAAATTATTGAATTTACAAACATCAAAGATACCTAACGTCAAACATTCAAAAACGGCGTATTTGGCGCCAACTTACACCAGATAATGCGGGTCTCACACGATGCCTCCAGCGTTGTATATAACGTTGCTTATAACGTTCGACACCCAAAATTTTCAAATGTGTCTCCTACACGATGGGATGAACTTTTTAGTCTTGGACGTTCAACGTATGGTGGCGCCAACGTCTATTATCGGTGTCAGTGTCGCACTTGAACCTTTACAACTGAAGGAAAAATTGTACAAAATGAACGACGAAACATTTTTTTCGTGCGCCGAAAATTTTAAGTTGTGTCAAATCGTAAGCGTCGCTCAGTTAGTTTTATTTAGGTTAGGTCAGAATGAGTGCTGTTCGTAAGCATCATATATTTACCATCAACAAAATCCTGTAAGGAAACTTTATAAGATAAATTAGTAGTTAATTGTGCCTGTACTCCTACTTGCAATTTATTTAGTTTTGATGAATTTGGTACAGGAATTTTGTTCTAGTAATTTGGACAGAAATATTGAGGTTTTCTATTAAAAAAATGACAAATGTTAATCTCAAATATTCACGAAGGAACGACTGGTTAAGTTTAACTCGTTTAATTTCTAAACATAAATTCGCCTCCGACTGTATCATTCATTTGATTTTGTAGAGCAATAGTAAAAATATGAGTTTTCGTAGGTTTGAGATCCGTGGCAAATGCATCGGATGGGTCTCTGCGGCGGATTTAGGAATCGCTCTAGTCAATAGTGGTGATTAAAAATTAAACAGCGAGGGTGGGGGTTGCCTGCTTATGCAGTATGTATATCTGGAAGCAAATGCAGCTATATAGTGAACTGAAGAGTAAATGTAGGATCCTCCTCTGCTCTCAGCCTAAGGGCACCTTCCAGCTGGATGACTGTGGTATTTGCCCTATTGTTACGGTTTTCATCTCCAAAGTTGTTGGCTTTCACACATTAAAATTTTGTTTATACCTCTAGTTTCTATCATACACCGAAAACCAAATTTATCTGACGGCTCGAGTTCAATATGTGTACGAGAGAGAAGTGTGTATATACAGAGATAGAAGCTCATCACCGCGTTGCCTAGGACGCTGACGCGGCAATATGCCGCGTTCCTAATATGTTGCATCAATTTCTTGAATTAAGATGCATATTGAGAATATGCGTTAGTTTATTCTCTACGCCCAAATAATGGTTTTACACTGAGCGCACACATTTTTTGATTGCGTCGAATCTGTCTAGGATTGATTGCGGATCGGTACCAACGGCGCTCCATTTTAGGTCGAAATAAAGGTCAGGATCGCGAGAAATTATGCAACATTGCATCATGGATTCGCTTGGTCAGTACCCATCTAGCCTAGCGCTCATTGAGGAGTATCGTCCTGCTCCGAAGAGGTTTTCACATGCATACACACAAAATGTAACAATAACTCATGTTGTGTTGATTTGATCACAATCGGTGGAAATCAAAGATAATTCTAAAATAAATTAAAACACTAAGTCGCATCAAAATTGTAAGAAATATTTCTAATCGAAATGAAAACAAAATATTAAATTAAATATTCGAACATATAGATTTAACAGTAACCTAAAATATTGTAGAAGCCTGTGCTCTGCCTTCACAGTCGCTAGGCAATGTGGTGATGACCTTTGCTCTTCAGCCGGCTTCCATCTCTTTCTAACATGTGTTGATACACACTTCTCGCGCTTCTCTCAGCCTTCAGACAATTTTTGTTTTTCTTGTTTATGGTGTTTCTAAAACATGGGGCAAAAATTCGGGGGATGATACTTTGGACACTATTATAAACAGGTTATTCTTTAAGAATCCCAACATAATCAGCTCATTGAGTTTGTCAGTTCAACATTCTATATTAATATCGTCGAAACAGAAAGAGGCACGAGATGTTTGAATTTCGCGCCAGTGCCTACCGGGGATTCACGATTATGCAAGAACCCTTATTTCCTTATTTGTGTTTGTGAGTGTGTAGGTGTGTGTGCGTGTATTATATACAGGGTGACTTCGAAGTTGAGTCATTTATTTTAACAGTGAGTAGATCTGATCAAAAGAAATGTTTTTTCCCTTTACCATTTGTCTGGTAAAATTAAAGTAACAAAGTTATAGCCCTTTGGAAGTTTGAGTACCGCCCTGTCTCAATAATAATATTATGTGCTCGTGTTTGGCAACAACGGATATAATCCGCCTTATCGGTTCATCGCATCGGAAACAAAAAAGCGAAAGAATTTGGAACGATGTTATTACAATTATTTTATTCAGTTGTATACAGTCAGTGTCAGTCGGTAACGCGTGAGTGAATAGTGGTGTCTGTTGCGTGGCTCAAACGAAATCAAAAATGGCACATGTTTACGAAAATGCTGAACTTGTGGACATGCTTCTTATTTACGCGGCATCACGGATTTATGCGGATCGGTTTTCCAATCGAGTGCAACCAACCCCTCGTGCCTTTGTTAATGTAGTACAAAGGGCTCGTGAATCAGGTGACTTAAGACCTCACAGGGGAGGGCATGCCGGTGCTCCAAGACCGCACGATCAAATACAGGACCGCACTGAAATACTGTGGAGAGGATACTTTATAAAACAAGGTAACATTTTTTTTATTTTTTTTTATTTTTACACACATATTTTGGTGTATCTTCCTTCTACATCATTATCTGAAAATTAATGACTCAACTTCAAAGTCACCCTGTATAGTCCAAGACTGCTGAAAAAATCCCACCTGGCTGATTTTTTTACCAGAGCTACTTTTCAACATTATAAAGCATTCCTCAAAAGTCCCCATGAATCCAAGTGGATCTTTTTTATGTGGGGTCAAAGGTCACAAAACACACTATTTTCCATATGTCTTCGAAAATATCAACTCTACGATAAAATGAGCTATTACCTTTTTTGTTCAGTATGAAATTCTCCACAAAAAAGGTTCTATGATTTTTTCCGTAGAGAACGCCAATTTACAGAAAATTGCGTGAAAGTGTTGTAACTGACAAAAATCAAAAATTTCACGTCAAACCGTATTTTGACATCGTTTTCTTTTTGAACGTTTGTTGTAGGGGCTCGATGTGTCCCCTCTTGTGACCTAGAGCACAGCTGGCCCTTTTTTTCTGTGTTAGAATGTCCGCCACTGTATACCTGATTGTGGGACATTGTCGCCATATGACCAGTCTTCAGACCAGTATTCTGCTATTCTCAGTTGTATACCGACGCGTCGGATAATATTTCAGACAGTTTTTACGTGATATTATACACCTATAAATTGAAAATTGCATCATTTGCGACAAATCGCTGTTAGACTGTTTGCGTCGAACGCGGAATTAAAAACTTAAGGTGACCTTACATTGAGGCAACTAAGGGCAACCAAGCAGCATGCGGCGCGATCGCATGTTGCACGTTGTCAGAAGTCGCACAGTCGTATGCGGCTTGCGGCGTTCGCTTCCACTGGTTGCTCTAAGTCGCAAGCTATGCTATGCTCGTGGGTTCAGTTGCTCGGTTGCTGAGAGGCATGCTGCACGATGGCCACGATGTCTTGGATTCAAGACAAGGTGAAGTGTTTAATAGAAGATCATCGCGAAAGCAGGATCTTGTGGGATTTGCGTGATGCGTCATATAAAGACAATCATAAGAAGTTGAAAGTATGGAAAAATTATCTGAAAAGTATGATTGTCCGGTGAGGGGTTTGAAGGAGAAAGTAAAAGATCTGCGAACGACATTGTATCGGTACAGGAAGAAAAAGTCCGGATCTGGTAGAAGTGAACCTTGGGTGCACTTTGATACACTCACATTCCTTCTGGAGGTAGATGCACAAAAAAAAGTATTTCAACTGATGAACACTTTTCTGGGGCTAGTATAAGCATTAAGGATAAACCAACAGTGCATACAAGTAGAATATTTTTATTAGCACATTGAAACTAGACAACTAGACAAACATATTTCATACAAAAGTTGAATAAACAATAGTATTGTACAACGAGCAAGGAATGACATGCATTTAATTATTAATTTTATGTGCCAACCAAGTAGCAGTATCAGTATATCAACTTTCCATTTGAAATATGATGATATAGATATGTACATAGTTGGATGGTCTGGAAAAATCATTTCATGTATACATAATATCCTCTATTTATCAGCAATATGTAATTGCGAAATATTGGCTGTTAAAAGTCGGAAATTTTAACACGTTGACATGCCTTAAATTATATTATTATAAACCATCCTCGGGGGATATGCTTTGCATATTAATATCTCAATTTTTTACAAGTTATTGAATACCAGTAATTTTACGATTTAGAGGCTATGAAATTGTCAAAATGGCTGATTTTCAACTGTCAATTTTTGGCAAAAAAATGAAAATAGATATAGAACATTATAAATGAAATGTTAATAAATGTATACAAAAGATGTACAAAAGAATTATTTATAGGATGTTCCATTGAAAGAAAGTTTATTCCTATAGACATGTTGAAGTTAATTCCTAGTTATATGTAGGCACCCTTCCTTCTGGTGTGTTGAAGTATGCTTTAAACTAATCCCTAACAGATTTCGCTACTTCGGGTGGTCGTCTAGGAAGTCTTTGAAGTTGCATGATACCAGAGTCTCCTTGTATAATATCCCTCCATGTTCCAGGAATAACTGATCCATCCTGTCTTTCACAGTCAAAGCATCCTGGAGAAGCATATAATTTTCTAGATGCACCTTTTTCGCAAAAAGTTGTGTAAGTAACAGCACGCGAGTGTATCAATTTTGGCGTTTTCTATAGTAAATAGCATCGGTTTTCTAAACACACGAAATACTGAACACATTAACCCGAACGTGTTTTCGTTGACACGGCGAGCACGGCTAAGCCTGTAATTGAATATTTTGGAATCCTTGACCAACTGGAGTCCAGGAAATGGCTTCATCAAATGTTCGCTCAAAGCAAAAGCATCATCCCCCAAAATAACATATGGCTGCTTTACTTGGCGTCCTGGTAGAGGTTTAGACATTGACAGATTAAGTTTATTCTTTTCCATCTTTTTGAAGAAAGTTGTTTCCCGAAATGCACCACCATCTGAAATTCTACCCTGGATTCCTGCATCAGCAAAGGTATAGCAATAGTTAGCGTCACAAACAGCCATCAGAACGATACTAAACGTTCCTTTGTAATTTAGATACATACTTCCTGCATTATCAGGGTTCTGAATAACGACGTGTTTACCATCTACACATCCAATGCAGTGGGGAAAATTGCATATTAGGTCAAAATCTCTGCTAATTTCTTTCCATCCGTTTTCTGTGCTTGGCATCTGATAAAAAAATACCATCGTGTTAAAAGTGACATTTTATTTAATAATTTTTTGTTTTAAATGTGTCGCTTTTTGTACTAGTGCTAAAATACTTTATTGCTCTGTTTTAGATAATTTTTAATTATGAAAATCTGCTTTAATTCTTTAAACCACTGTATGAAAAAATAAAACATAAAAAGATTTCATAGTTTATGCCGGCAGTAAATTATTATCTTGTGTACTAACTTATTTTATTTCTATTTCAGTCAGAAAATGATAAAGCTGATTAAGAAAGCGAAATACTGCGAAACACGTCTGCAACTCAGAACACTCCTCAACCTTCTCCAAATGAGCAGCAACTCGAATCACAGCTGGTAATGAAAGCACCTGTAAAACATCATCTCACAAAGTCCGCTCCCAAAAGCAAAAAATCCAAATGTCAGGCTACACGTCGAGATGAAGACGACCGAAGAGCAGATGAGGCCTATAGAATTCTGCAAACAGCTTCAAATCACGACGACTTTTCCATATACGGACAGCATGTGGCAAATTAATTGCGAAAACTGAGTTCAACCTCGTACCAGATAACAAAACATTATATAAATATTTTATTTGATGCTGCTATGGGAAGATTTGAACCACCGGCTATTTCAAACCCAGTCTGTCCTCCCTCGTTAACGTCTGCGTCGAGTTCCACTCAAAGTTCTTTTAACTGGACTCCAGTTTCTGCACAGTCACCTTGTTCACCAATAGACGTCATTCCTCTTTCAAGTGATTTGCCGCTTAATGGTAGTAAAGAGAATGCATCAATATCGACAGACAGATAGAAGAATGCCTCTTCAGCTGATGGAACACGATTTCCTGATATTAATGATTTACTAGATAACTAACATATTTAAATGCACTTATTTCATAAATTATTATAAATAATCCATACAAATGTGTAAATTTACTTACCTAAATAAATTCCTTTAAAACCTGAATTATGGCTTGACAAACCTCAGGAATAAAAATAGAAATTGTTGAGTCTGATATTCTGAAAAGGTACATGAGCGAACGGTAGGAGTCACCAGTTGCCAAGAATCTCAGAGTGCAATACAATTTAATTTTGAAGGTATACAGCATCGAAAATTTGTATCAGATTTAGAAATCAGAGGAGATATCAGATTTAGGAGGTAATCAAATTCCTGTTTATTCATACGTGTGAACTTTTTGAACAGAATTCCGTCATCAGCCATAAGTTTGTTGAAGAAACAACTCCCTACACCATATCTTGCGTCTTCGCCTCTTTTGCTTCCTTCTCGATAAAATTAAATAAGCCGCCGCGGCAACTGTTTGCAATGACATCTCGAAACAAACTGTGACAGCTTGAAGAAACCAGTCGCAGTAGGTGTAAAGGACCAGGCCGCATGCTGCAGTGGTTGCTCCCGTTCGCATGCTGCCTACAGATTAGCAAGGTTCCAAGCGATCGCATGCTACAGGCAACTTAATTGCCTATGGTTGCCTCAATGTAAGGCCGCCTTTACGTGACACCAGTATCCAGCGAACTGATGGAAAAATTACATTTTTGCGGAGTGTTGAATCGATCAGGGTGCACGTGGTGTGTCGCAAAGAATATACTCGTTCAACATTACTGCTGCTAAAAGGGTGCGAGATGCTGAACCCAGCACCTCCACCGCTAGCCCTCCTCGGCGAAGAATGCGTTCTACATGAGAAAAAAGTTCCCACGTTTCGTCGTCGAAAAATCAAGGAAGTCTAGATACCATCATTTAAATCGACTGTGCTTGCTATAGCTCAAAAGCGTAATGATTCTCTTGGTAGAGTAGTTGAAAATCGCATCATTTATGAAGAGGATTTAGTAGAAGTAAATGCAAAATATCATGGTGATTGATACGTCTCTTTTGCGCGACCTTTAACTGCCCAAAAGCATGGGAGACCTCAAGATATCAACATCTCTTTGGAAATGGAGAAAATATATAATTACATTGAAAATAATGATGACTGTCAGTTCACTTTATCGGAACTTAAAAAGGTATGTACTGATTTTGTACCTGATGATGTTACTGTAAAAACAAAACTTACTGAAAAGAACGGTAACAAAATCGGCATTACAGCAAAGAATCGAAATTCAACGATTATTTGTTTCTACGATGTTCGTCATGATATCTTGAACAAAACCTGGCATGACGATCGTCAATGTGATGAGAAAGAGGAACGTTTTAGAATTTTAGAGGCCGCTGCACCAATCATTCGTGAAGATATACAATCGACACCCACGATAGAGATTATTATCCTCCTACAAATCAAATGTTCGACAACATCAAGTGCAGCTCAAGCACATTTATGTCGTTTGTATTATCAATATTTACAGCCAATACAAACTCTATTGCCACCTGCTCCTGATATCTTATTAAATACAATCTTTTGTAATTGTACGAAAGATTGTGGAGCTAATTGCGGATGTAGGAAACTTGGCCTACACTGTTCCGCCATTTGCGGCTACTGTCATGGACAGTCATGTCTGAATATGATCTCGAACAATGAAGAGTCAAATAATGGGGAATTCGATGAGAATATAGACCCCATGAATTTCCTATGCTCAACACTTCAGGTTGGCGAAGACTTAGATGATGTCGCATCTTGTCACATTGATGACTGGAAAAAAAGTAACAATTGAAAGTATAATTTCTTTGAAAAAACGATCTCTACGAAAAAAATGCATAAAACCTTTTTTGTGGATAATTTCATACTGAACAAAAAAGGTCATAACTCATTTTATCGTAGAATTGATATTTCCGAAGATATATGGAAAAGTTTTTTTTGTGACCTTTGACCCTCCATAAAGAAAGCTCCACTTGGATTCATGGGGACTTTTCAGGGATGATTTATAATGCTGAAAAGAAGCTCTGGTAAAAAATTCTGCCAGGTGGGATTTTTTCAGCAGAAAAAATCTAATAGTCCTGGACTATATAGTGATATTTTTGGGATATCTTGTACGATATGGATAAAATGAATCGTTTTTGAGACAAAAAGGTCTTCTTCCCCCTCATTCTATTGATTTACACTAAAGCTACCCCAAAATGTTGGACCCAAGCTTAAAAGAAAATAAGCTGCAAATATACCTGGGAGTTTCCGTGTCGCTCATTACGAATCTGTTACCAAATTTACTACATTTTTAAACTGGCGGAACTAGTTCATCGGAATCATTATCGATAAAACTATACGAAGTAAAATGGTTTATTTAATCAAAACTATAAAAGCATACTCTTTCAGATACAGAATCATTATACAAGTTGTAGAAAAGAATAGGTCTAGTCCGCCTTGGGCCTTGGCTAATCAAATGAGCTAATTATTTCCCCTATAGTATCTACGCTGTCAAAATTTCGTTATATGGTGTTGTTAAAAATTTATCAAAAAAAAAACAAAACAATTTCCAGTGGTTTCCTTCAGGGACCTGTACATCCGAAACGAAGAGTTAATTCAAAAATCGTCTAAATACAAAAGAGCCTTAAAATAAACCAATAAGTTTTATGGCGTGTTTTGGAAACACTCTGAAGAATAAAAGAATACCCAATAAGAATTATACGACATAGAGGTAATAGAAAAAACACCCAAATCAAGGGAACACTATTTATTTAACTGAGATGTGGACATTGTGTAAAATATTCTGGTTTAAAGTATGCCATTTTTAACAAAGGGGCTATCAATCCACACATTCAATACTTTTGTCATTTCCACGTCACAAACAGGAATGAGTTACACCGAAAATAAATCCAGTATATTTCTATCTATAAACAGCAATCTAACAAATAAACGGATATGGTGAATAAAATACCCCCTGGAAATTATATTGGTAATCTGGATATACAGCTATTATTTATATTTACAAATACAATCTATTCAAATCTCATTTACGCCGCGTTAAAACTAGCACCAACGCGCAAACTTCAAATTCTCGCACTTCTATTGGCCTGCAGGGCATACATGCCTGAGCACCCTGCAGGAGGTATATACAAGTACAAAAATTCGACGGTCCAGGGGTAAGTGTTTGTTTTATCGGAGTACATGAGGTCTGAATAGGTTTTAGTATATTGACCAACTTTCCAAACTTATAATTATCATCATCATCTACGCGATATATTAAAAAATCGTAAAGTTCGATATTCATTGTAAACAATTACACTTAGTTGGTTCTGCAATAGAATCTGTACGCGTATATAAAAAATAAACGCGTGTTTCAATGTAAAAAACCTGAGCTAAGTTCCTGAGAAAATATTCATACTTGTTACATACTCGAGTAAGTTTCTTTGTAGATGTTGATGTATAGATTTGGGCAATTTGAAACTCACTGATCCACAAGTTTTTATATCGTCGAAACAGTTTCTGAATTACTTTTGAATATATCTTAATAAAAACTGCGGATGCGAGTTGTCAAAGCTATTCTGTATATAGTACATGTACTTATGTTACAGGTGTTAACGAAAACGGTAACGATATAACAATTACCAAGCACCTTTGAAAATGTTAGCACCATGAACAAGAGTAGCACATACAATCAGTATTACCGCTATGTATGGAAAACAATAATGGCACACAGACACAAATTTCTCTATGTACTAATAACTGTTGTACAAATAGTATTCACCAGTTACAGGACCTTTCGAACTCATGAACTCCAATGTCTGGTATATTTTCTGTTCATAGATGGGAAGATAACGACATATTTTTCATAGCTGAATATCATAAAACATCTACACGCTTGGCAAACCTCAGCAAGCCGTTACAAATTCAAACGCGTGATGCGATTTATGATATAAAGATACGACAGTACGGCACTCTCTTTATCTCTCTTCATCGAGTCTTTTCTTGAGTTGGGAGTGAAAGGGAGCCAGCAAGGGGTGTGAACCAGTACACACGATCACGATTCTGTTTATTCCATAAAGACAACCATAACTGAGTTTCTGATGGATAGCTGTGCCATTTTGAGCTACGTTCTCTAGGAACATACATAACAGACATTTATTATATTTCACAGTTATTGTACACTTTTTCATTATCTTCAGTTTGAACGAAAGGTTTTGCGTCGATAATGCTTGCTTTACCTGAACACAGTTACGCACTCGCAAACGTGCGGATGGTTCCTCAAACCGCCAAACGTTTGTAGAGGCTTGGAGTTTGCAAGCATACATGGGATCTAATTGATTTCACCTTGTTTCATTTTGTCTTTTACAAATACAGACACTTGGAGATCTGATGTTCGAAAAGTTCTTAAAAGTAATCTTATATTGATACCCAAGTAAAACATGAACAACAAATTATTTTTATAGAAATATATAATTACTGAGGTAGTTATATCATCTTAGATCGGATAGTGTACAAATACTAAAATTGGTAGTGTCAGCTTAGGGTTAAGTGCTCGAGGGAACTAGCTGAAAATGGATTAGAAAAAACTACTCTTATAGGAATAACAACTTCCCCTTTATCTCGCAGAGCATAGATGAAATGCTGGCTATAGAACTAGCAGCATACAGATACATATCCCATACATTTTCCAATGCACTTGTGTCGGCTGGGCTTCAGTTTTGCTGACACCAAGAAATTCCTAGGTATGTTACTCTCCCTATAGCTAGCTCTAAAACTACAGAGATGAAGCGGATAGCGCTGTCCAAAGTGTAGTTTTTATGTTAAATATGGTACAATATCCGGTTCTAAGTTTACTAAATCTACATATGGGCTGGTTTGCACATCAGTCTCCATCCAGCGTTGTGTTATAACATGTACTATAAACTATGTGTTTCAAAGATAATCATACACTCAAATAAAAAACGACAAACTATGAAATTCACCGGAAAAGATATTATGTGTGTACATATAAGTAAAGATGCAACATTTACACCTTATGACTCTGATTTGATAACACCAAATTTACTAGACAACACTTTACAACTAGCTTTGTCAATGTTTTTGCGAATATGGAAGATATTCAAATTCGACTTAAAATATAAAAATACAATTGACCATTTTCGAAAGCATAGCTACACAAAATGTCACCCAGCAACTTTGGCTAAAACTTAACTTACTGTACGCTCTTATATGTCAGTGTCACCATATAAGGTGATTTCAAGCTGTGACAGTGACAGTAAACAATATTTTTGCGTATCGGATAAATGTATTGTAGTTTCTGGTCTCCCAGAAATGCTTTAAATTCTATAAACATAAAGAAAGTAATTATATAATATGTAATCATACTGAAAAAGAAAAAACTATAACTATAGATTTATGCCCATTAATGAATAAATTTGATCATAGACAAATTTTGTCTAGCAGGGCGCAAAAATGAGAAAAAAAACTGTTGAAAATTGCAGCGAATCGAATGACAATCCACGTCATTTTCAGTGTCACTTGTTTGGGAAAACTCAAAAGACTTTGTACATATGGCTGTAATTTTTCTTAAAATATTCCATAGCAAACATTGATACACCTATTTTTATACTGTTTTAACTATGCCTGCCTATATTTGAGGAATACGAACGTGGTTTTAATAGTTATTGATCGAACATATACATGACGCATGTACGTCCATATTTGCAGAAACTGGATCATACGTTAAGTACAATTTTATAAATAAAAAAACAAAATAGTTGATCTGAACTCATGAAAGGGTCAGATCAAAGGGTAAAAGCCTTGGACGACTCTAAACCTTCATTAAAAAGGAGCAAATCTTTTCTGTTAAATCAAAAACTATTATTACCACTGTTATAGGTTTGATCAAAGTTAGTCAAGAAATGGGTTTTGTTTGGTTTTTGGTACCATTTTTACCATTTAACAGCAAATAAATGCGTTTGGGTTACCCTATCTAGATCATCAGTCTCCAACTTCCTTGGCTAAACACACAATCTATTACCATGAAGAATCCGATTCTGGGAGTCTTCAGAAAACTTTTGCTAACTGAATTCAGTAGCTTCACACTATCCTCTATATCATTTCACCAGTTGTATAATCAAAACTACAGGCAGATGACTGACTCTCAATGACAGGGCAATCGAAAAATTGTCTATATTGTGTGGTTTGGTTACTATAAATGCAACAGTTTCGTTTTAGAGATCAAATATTAGAATTTGTATTTTTGCCTTACCTGAGATTTTACTAATGTTTTTCAGTCTGAAGCTTCACTAAATGAAGTAGATTTTTAGACAGACGCAAGTGATAATTGCAAAAATACAAATGCCAATTTTTGAGGGGACTGTTTTTTTAACAGGTCGGGTTGAAACTGACTCCAAAGAACAATCAAAATGCTCTAGAAAGTGTATATCATCTCGTTTAAAAGTGTATAACCGCATGGAGATAGTAACATTACTGCAATCATGCTTCGGTCTGATTATTTTTTTTAGAATCATCACTCTTGTTATAGGTACAGCTTTACTTCAAGTTCGGCACGTCAACGTAACTTCAAAGATGGTAAAATTAGTCGATCTGGGTGCCAAATCTAAACCCCAGGCTAAAACTTATAGTACCATTATGTCTACAGTTCTTCTAGACACGAGTTTTCAGAAGCAAAAACTATACCTATATTTTTTTGGGGGGGGGGGGGTGGGGGGTTGGTTAAATCGTTTATTTGTCCTCGAAATTGCTAAACATGTTGAAAAAGACGATATAGTAGTGTGCGTTTTTTTTTCAACTGATGTAGTCTTTTTAGTTCTGTGAAAGAATGGATCGGGCAACTAGATATTTTCAAAACTAGTTTTTTATTTGACAGCTTTGTACTCGAAATCTTTTTGTACGATTATATGATTGTATCAAAAAATATTATGTTTTTGTTTTGGGGTTATTCCACTTTACCAGAAGAAAAATCTGTTACTAGATTTGTGGAACTGTGGCAAATATATGGAAAAAATGAAAATATATGGATCTAGAATACGAATAAAAAATAGATTTAGTGATGTTTTCACCCATATCTTGCTGTTAAAGTAGTGAGTTTAAGACATATGAAACTGACATTTTTTTAGTGTTGTTTGATTTTTCTGCTATAAAGTGCGAATCCTCAATTTGATCCAAAAGTGACGAGAAAATTTGTCGAACTCTACTGAAAATCTTCAGTCTGCCAAAATAAATACGTCGTGTACCCTTCACTCTTAACATTTTTTATAAATAAAAGCAGTTATCTTGGTAACATTCTTGCACTTTGGCACACTTTATAAGATCTGTACAAATAATTTATTTTTTTCATTTATACATAAAAGTAATAAATATATATTATATAATAATATATCCATTTTCCACAATTTTTCAGCGCTAGTCTCGACTAGGCTCGATTTTTTGTTTTAAATTTTTAAAAATGTAACAAAAAATATCCTCCCCAACAAACAATTTTTATCAAAAATATTTACTTTACATTAGGGGTCCGACTATATAGATTGTCGACGGACATCTACAAGGTCCATCTGACGGAAAAATCCAAAAGTTCAATGCCTATTTGGTTTTCATAACAGATGGAATACCGTGCTTTATTGAAAATGATATTCAACCTTGAGAATAGAAAAGTGGATCAAAATAGGCAGTGACAATGTAATTTGTGTGATATTTTGTCAGATTATCTCATAGACATATCGTCGCTTCGAACACTATAGTCGGATCTAAGGGCTCAGAAGTGCCCATACCTTTATACCTCCCGAATTTGTACTATTTGGGACTACGACTTACTGCCTTGACGCAAGGCATCTAGTCGTGATAAGGCTATATCGAGATGAAAGCCTTATCCGTCCTATCCTGATGGGTATATATCATATAGACCAAAGTCCCATTATACTTCCTCTACCCTTCATAAATGATGGTTCAAATCCAGTTTAAATTTTAGGGCAAATACTTTTAATCTAAATTCAAAGGTAAGACTTGTGTTTAAAAGTTTTACCTTTAAACTAAATTTAAAGATTCTTTTCTCTAATAATGAACTTTTATATAAACTACATTCATTAAGGTATTATTCTACATGAAGATAGCTATCCTATTAATATATTCCCGTCTAAAAAGATATCCGGGATGAAGATATCGAAGCGTCGTCTATGAGAAAATGTCACACCTATGTTTCTCCTCTCTGCACTAGTTAGAAATCTACTTTGAAAAGGTTAGTGTCTCATAGATGGCACTGTAGCCAACTATATTAGCATATAGTATATATTTGGTTACAGCGCCTTCTATGAGATACTATCCTTTTCAAAGTAGATTTCCAATTAGTGTGACAAATTATCATAGATGATGCTACGGTATCTCATTCCATATCAGATAATTTTTTGGACGGGGAAATATAGTATTAGGTTGGCTATCTTCAGACAGAATACGTTAGTCAATGCTCTACTTGAACCACGGAATTATAGGAATAGATAGTGTTATAGGACCTAGGCCTAAAATCCACAACAATCACAACAGCAACACCCCACGGATCAACACATCAACAACAGATTTTCATATGAAATATCAAGTTGTAAGTAGAGAAATTTTTACTAACGGGTGATTCATTTAGAGGTACTTATTTAAAAAGAAAAAACACAAAAAAATGCACTGAACCGGGTAATCATGATTATAGAAGAAAGAAAGCATTCTTGATATTCAGTTTTTGTACATTTCATTCGAGTGTTTCAATGATCCATCCCAACAGCTGAATTTTAGAATGTTTGGTTTCAACAAAACGGGGCGGCACTACATAACACAGTCGATTGTTTTTACTTTTGAAAGAAATATCTTTAAACGAATCACCCATTAGTTATTGACAAACAGAGCTGTGCAGTTGTCAACTGTCACCTGTGTACCATTGCTATGGTAAAGAAGTATATAATCTGAATGAAACTTTCACGAAACGTTTTTCTATTTTTACTGAATTAAATGCTATCTGAAGTGGATAGTTGCATCCCATTGAAGTGTGACACACCACACACCAGCCTCGAACTATCTTCTAACAAATAATACTTCTCGAGGCTTAATGCGCGCTGCTTGTCTCAAAACATTAACAATCTCCTAACAATAATAATTAAAAAAATGTCTTTGTCAAACATACGCACACTTTCCCTTCGGTGCGCTCCTTGGACGCATCTCGTTGCATGGTTTTACCCTACATAATTAAAAAAACTCAAAAAGTCTCCTTTGGTTTCTCAGCCCTGCACTCATATAGTTCTGCGCGCGCGCACAATACTTAAAGCTTTTGATTTTTCACATTCACACTCTATAATTATAAAAAAAAACAAATAACAGTCACGGTTACCGTCTGTACTAGAAGAGGAACTTTACGCCTTTTGATGTAGTATTGTAGTAGGACTCTTCAAGATTTCTGTAACGTTGACTGGTCATATTTTTTGCGTCGTTTTCCAATATTTTCCAAGTTTTGCTGCTGCTGCTGTGGTCTTTCGGTTCGATTTTTAGTTTTCTTCTTTCGATATGCTGAAGCTGGGTAAAATCTGACCCATTGCCTATGAATCTCCGACAATGGCAACTCCCCATAACATTTAAAAATGCGTGTTTTTTGTATATTTTAATGTTATGGTCCCAGTCATAAGATCTTCAATTTCCTAGGTAGTTGCCAGAACATTTCAGATGGTGTAATATTTCACAGTCAATGGTTCATTCGATTCTCAATCTGTCAAAATCCAGTAGTATTTGGAACACGATTTCTCCTAAAATAGTTGTCGTCGAGAAAACGCCAGTCGTGTTCTTTTACAGTTACATCTTTGGTAGTCCATTTAGTTCAGGTAGTTTTATATATATTGTGTAATATTTATACAACAAAGAATAAATATGGTAATTATATGGAACAGAGTCAATCTAGGGACTCTTGATCAGGTCAATTATTGTGATTGTACAACATTTATAAATTACACTTTGATTAGTATGATCATATATAAACAAATCTGTAACTATAGTTTGATTAGTAGAGGTCAATATATTAACAAAACTCCAGTTGTTTAACTAAGTTTTAAATATGTATCTATATAACGTATTATAATTGTAGCTGTAGTTAAGTTGACACCTAAAACCGCCATAGCACTGTTATTAATGACCTTGAATGACTGGGAAATCTCGACATTTGACAGCTGGTAACATATGCTCCATGAAATAACATCAGAAACAAAATCCAATGACGTTTCTCAAAGCCACTGCAACTTTGTGAGGCTAGGAAAAACATTACAACTAACCTCACTGTAGGTGATCAACAATGTTTAGGTGATATAAGCTTCAACTTTCAACGTGGATATGGCCACATTCAATGTAGTGAAACAATGTATAACAACACATACTGTAATTATTTACAAGTACACTAATAGACTAGGTGAAAACCTCGCAATCGTGGGAACGATTTTCCAATGCGATTTTTTTTTCTTAATTACGTTTGTGGGATTCCCCTTAATATGAACCAGGCGGAAGCTGGCTGCCTATTGTTTAAATAATATTTCAAATAAATTAGCGACATAGAAAATGTCTCCAACGAATGCGAGGTTTTCCTCTATCTATCTATCTATGAGATTAAATATGTATAATTAACATAAATGACATTTATAATGAATTAATGACCCAACTCGTCCCTAGATTGATGCTCTGCTATGTGGAAGGGGTGTATAACAGAAAGTAATAACAACTGAATCTGCAATGGTTGGTTGCTGTAAATATAACGGAAATTTCTATGGCTATATGAACCTAACGTATTTTGATTTGTTGAGGTAGATTGTAGATGGCAGACGCGAAGCATTTGTAAGGCCGGATCGTCGTCTCTCGAGAATGGAGGGGGAAAAGTAGAGGGGATGGTGGGCGAGGAAAGTTGAAAACTGGGCGGACAATGATGAGATCTAGTTTTTTATTATCTGAGTTTACTGTATTCGTTCAGTTGGCGTAATTTCACTCTTCAAAAAAAAAAAATGTTAATGCAAATTTTATATAAAAAAAGTAGAATCGTAGATGGTTTTTGTGAAACCATTTTATTGTTCAGATTCAACAATAAACAGTGTTTCAGAATAAGACCGCAATGTGTTGGATGCTTTAACAAAATTTTGATAATGTTATCAACAATTGCAACAATCAGTTCTATCAATTTTGGTATTGATCGGATTCAGCATACTGTTTCCGCCATTTTGAGAATATAGCCTTTCTGATAACAGTTGCGTAATCAGATATAAAAAGAACCTTGGGATATAAAATCTCAGATGACTCGGGTCGGGTTTCAATTTTTAGTTGAACTCTTTGGGTATCTGAATCTATAGGAACAGAATCTAAAAAATGCTGGTTTCCTCAAAAAAGGGTTCATTCTATCCATATCAAACAAAAATACGTTTACTTCAGCTCAACGCTTCTCAAAGATATTTTTGAGCCATTATTATACAGCCTAAAAAAGCAGCAATATTGTGACAATGCCATGTGAGACCCCAACTGGTTACTATTCTATCCGAAGTTCCTTAAATTATACTGCCGTTCGAAAGTTATTGAAAAAGAAAACGATTTCCAGTATCATTTAGGAGTCTGTATCCTCGAAGTGGTGGAAGGATATCGTTTTTAGAAACTTGTGGCATTATTTTTGTATGCTCTATATAATGCAATCTTATTCTGGAACTACTTCTATAGTTTCAGAAACTTTAAAATTGTATTGATTGATAAATTCGGACCACCATGACTAAGAAAGTATTTCACAAGCAAAGCTACAATATGGCATTAAATATAGGGAAACGCGCCGCATATTTCCCTCTTTTTGCAAGATCTCACTCCTATAAAAATGATTTCAAGTACTGTTATAGTAGCGCCAGAATTAAAAATAGGTAGGACACTATCCGAGAACCACCCAAAATTACTTAGATCTCTCATCATTTTCACGCCAGTTTTCCACTTAATACGCCGCCCCCAAGGTATGTCCGTGGAGGCGGCGATCCGACCTTTTATGACCTTCAACTTCCATTTCGTTGCACGCTTCGCGTCGCCTCGCTCCCGATGTAAATCGGCAGTGTTCGTATGGCCCGCTAGAGGGCGAGGCTGCCGCCTCCTACTGCGTCTGTTGCTCAGTAGATGGCGTCGGACCGCCCCCACCGCCTCCTCCACTGCTCGAGCCGTCGCGGTTCGCGTGCTCGCCCGCCTCTTTCTGTTGCCGGGGACGTCGGCCGGCAGGCGGCGCTAGAGATTGGAGGACCATCGCGCGGATTCGACGCTGGGCGGACTGGAAAAAAGAGAAAGTTCATAATAAAATATGTTTTGCAGAAAATATACGATCAGAAATTCGGATAATAAAAGTAAATCTATGTGGACGATATGTCATGAAATTGCAGGTAAAAATAACCATAAAGATACCCATATCAAAGGAGATCAATCAACAGATTCATTATTACCATCAGTACAAAAATATCACGAGGAAGCACTTGAATATGCGTTAAAATGTGTTGAGGCGTCGTGATAAATAATGTAGCAATAGTTACGAACATTTACACTGAAGGTATCCAAAGTGCTTAGAGAGCCACAGAGCACCATAGTTATCTGCGTAAACGCCGTTTACACCTTATGCTGTACGTGGGTATTTCATCTCTTTATTGGTGCTTAATACACTTGCGTGCTTTTACAGGTCAAAGTAGATGTTGAATTACAAAGTGTAAAGTCACAACTCAACAAAATTTGTTGGAAAGAACACCGTTTACAGAAAACTGTAAAAACAACATTAGCAGAAAACAGCAAAATGATATTGTGGTTGTAAATTAAATACTTAACTACAGAACAAGCAAATCCGAACACAGCAAAAGTAAAAAAGCACACTACAACACCATAAGAGATCCGAAAAGTTATTATTTAAAATTCTTCGATAGAATAAAAAGTTTTATTGGCCAGGTAAGTTGTAATTCTATACCTAAATGAGCCGGGGCCAGACATTCTGAGTGCCTCAGTAGATTGCAAAGTAGTTAGTACCGTTTCTAGTTCTTTGTAGACGATGTTTAGGAATATCTAACATGCATGCGTCTATTGTAACTACGTACATCACTGTGCGTTTTGTATAGATCCAAACTGCTATAACCAGATAAATACATTCAGCAATGGAAAAGTAACGCATTTTAGATTGATGAATGCCGCCTTACATGGCTGTATATAACTCAGATCTGCGATGACCAAAGGCGCTGCATCAGCCTTTGTAGTGCAAATACTTTAGGCATATGCACTGATTGACCCCAGTTCAAGAGTGCAGATGACATTCCTGAGTGGAATTATCCATAGTATGTGATTAGCAGGTTAGCAACTTATCACCAGAAACACAGCTTTTCAGATTCCTAATTAAAAAAATGGTATTGGATAGTTCCGTGCGATTATTGTTTAGATTTTCCTCCCAAGTCATGTGAGTATCAATACTGACACCCAAAAATTTCACTGCGCCTATGGTATTGATGTAATCGTGATACAAACTTATTACCATGGACTGTGCCTTTTAAGCATTAAGTGTGCTAAAAACCAATTTTCTAAATTTTTGTATATTCAATATTCGCAGAAAATAAAGTAGATCAATCTGTTACTACAGAGCCTTGTTGTGTCATCGGCAAACAGTATAAGGTTTTTGTTTTTATTACAATTAGGAAGGTCATTTACGTATATTAAAAATAAAAGTGGCCCCAACACTGGACCCTGTGGGACGCCACATGAAACTGTCGTTGTACTGGAGGTAGTGTTGTTGAAGGTTACAAGTGGCTGTCTGTTGCGCAAATAAGATGACAACAGCTTAATTTTACTATATACTATGGAACTTGTAATACGACAATTTTTGTAGAAGAATGTCATGTTGGATACAATAGAAGGCCTTAGTACGATAAAAAAAATAGCTAAGCAATGAGCACTATTTTCAAAAGCTGCATTTATTTTATCAATGACGCTGTCAACAGCAAGAGAAGTAAACTTACCTGAACTGAATTGACAGTCAGTAAATAGGTTGTTGCTTTCAAAATAGTCGATCAGCTGATCTTTCAAAAGAATCTCAAGTATCTTGGCAAGTAGGGGTATAAGTTGAATAGGCCTATAATTTGATCGTTGGAATCGCCTTTTTTAAAGAGACGAATAACTTTCGACAATTTTAAAATATCAGGAAATAAACCATTTGAAATACAAAAACTGAATAATTTTGTCAATGATGTGATAATAAGGTTTATAAGGCATATAGGCGCTTAACTACCTTTACGGTATGGTCAAGGATTCTGTTTTTTTTTTATTGATTTGACATTCTTTCATCATGATCTTAAGCTTCCTGACAAGCTCCTGCCTCCCTGACTTTCCGGTTTTCTGGAACGTAGACATCATAAAACAAGAAGAGCAAACGTTATCTTACCTGTACACTGAAGAAAGGTCCGATAATATGCACCGTAGTCTCCTCCTCACTGCCTCCGCTAGGCTGCACAGGCGGCGTGGTGGCTCCGCCTGCCGACTGCGCGGGCCCCCCAGGTGCCGCCCCTTGTTGCTGAGCCTCTGGCAGCTTGATGACGCTGCCCGTGACGCGCTGCAGCTCGCGAACGTTTTGCCCGCCCTTGCCGATGATGCGACCCACTTGCGCACTGGGGACGGTGATCTCGACCGTTAGGCGTACGTCGTCGCTCCCCGCGACAAAACCTTCTTCGCGCATCTTTTCGAAGATCAAGTACTGCGCCTGAAATGGAATGATACAAGCTCAGTTCACAAAAAAATGTAATAAGCACTTGTAGTATTCGGACTTCACAGTTGCTTCTCTTGAAACCAACTCTGATCGCACTATGCCCCCACCATTAACAAAGACAATGAGCGTGGCTGTAACTTTTCATTTTTGTTTCAGAGTCATAGCCAGCTTTCATCACCAGTAATAATTTTTGACATGAAGTCCGAATCTACATCTGTATCAAGACACTTTTCCAAGCAGTTTAGGAACAAATTTCGTGACTCGTCTCACTTGCAAATTATCGGTTGAAATGCTTTGTTCGGATTCCATACAAGATATTTACTCTTTTGACGAGCTCTCGAATCGTGAATCAACTGTTTCATCGAACTACGTTTGCCCGTTTTTGCACGTTTCGGTTGGTTTTTGAGGATGTCCTGACCGTTAGTCGCCTTCAACCGACTCATTCTCGCTTTTGAATCACTCATGCTACTACCTAGACAGTCTTCAGAGTCACCACATTATCACCGCACACTGTTTTCAACATTTCATGGGTTTCTTTGGCATTTTTTTGCAACTTAAAACTAAGGTTTATGTACGGAATATATGATGCACACATACGACCTGACTCTTACAACTCTGAACGCTAATAGACAGACGATCTCCACTTTCAACTGCCTTTTTGAATAAGTATTCTTAATACCTCCTCATCTGATTATTTAATTGTGTATAGAGTTTACTAATAGGCAATGTTATCATTTTTTGTCAAAAAATGCGTTTTTGTGCATTTTTCTTCAATCGTAACTTGTTGACAAATAATAGTACAGCTTTGAAATTGTATGATCTACTTTTATAGTAGAATTGAGCAGGAATTTTTTCTTATGATTTTATTTTAGAAACAACTATTATTTGCTAACAAATTACGATTGAAGAAAAATGCATAATATTGCACAAAAAATGCATTTCTGAGCATTTTTTCAATCGTAACTAAACAAATAATAGCTATAAATGTGTATGCTTCACTTACTTCAGTTTTATAGTAGAATTGGTCAGGAATTTCTTTTTTCTCATCATTTTCTTCTCAAAAAATCTTTACTATTTTTGGAAACTCATTTTACAGTGAATTTAGTTTTCAAAAAAGCAAATATTTTTTGAAGAAAAAAATTACAAAAACTGATATACACACCATAAAATAATCAGACCAAAAGTATTAAGAATACTCCTCCATACAGGCTGTTGGAAAATAGGGATGTTTGACGTTAAACGGAAGAATGTAGTTCTGATATAAAAATTCATTCACCGTATTTTTTATTACATTCGTACTTGTTATCAGTGGAAATAATATATCTTATTCATGCAATGACTCTATTATAGCCACTACAGCGATCTATTTAGTTTTATATCATTTTCACCGATATTTAAAAAATCTGCAATAAACTTGAAATGTTTCTTCCACTTGAAGAATGTCTCAATGGATTAATATGATAACTCACCTTCCACTGCGCCTCAGGCGTACCAACAATAGTGACTCTTCTCTCCGTCTGAGCCTCTTGCGGCTTGCTCTCATCAATGGGCGCGATCTTGACGCTAGCCCCCGAGAACCGGATGATGTTGCGGATGTGGCTGCCCTTGGTGCCTATGATGGCACCCACCGCGTTATTCGGGATGTACAGGTACGTGGTCTCCTGGGAATCCCCGGCCGCCGCGGCTGCCGCGCCTGGGCCTCCCGCGGCTGCCGCTGCAGCTGCCGCGGCACTTGGGTACATCGGGTAGGGCGCTTGTCCGGCGTACAGGCCGCGAGAACCGTAGCCGATGCCTGGAAAGAAGAAAAAAGTTGATATGCAAGAAAGAGAAAAATCATCTATTCGCCTGGAGTAAAGTTCATAGTGGGGGAAATTAAATCTATCGCCGCGCACGCGATGGACAAAAAATATTGTGAAATCTGTGACACGTGTAGTGCTGGGCCAAATTGTTCCTTTTAGTGATTCGATTCCATAATTTCGATTCTGCTCTTGGAAACGATTATTTCGATTCATACATTTTAATTCCGATTTCCGCAATTCCAAATCATACCATCAGTGTTAATGAGAGCTACATAGGAACGATACTGCTGTAGGAAACGATTATTTATCGATTCCAATGACCTGGATTCCTGAACCTGAACTCCTTGGGTTCGATCTAGCACTTAAGAAAGTCCAATGGGTTGATTTTTAACCAACTGAAAGGACTCGGAAATTGCTTCTGATTTTAAAGACTCTAAGGGATTTTACTAGCAGGGGATAAAAGTTCTTGATCCGGATCATAATGGACCAATGAGAAGGCGTCTTTCTAGTAATGGATCTAATGAATTTTGTAAGAATAACCTCTAATTTCCACATTAAATCAAGAAATTATTTATAAATCACCTGGTTTAGCTACAAAAACATTTTTTTCTGTTGATCCAGAGATCAAAACCTATGATCCGGATCAACAACAGCCAAAAAACGGCACCGAAAATTGGCCAATCGGATAAGAACTTTCAATCTTATATAATGCCTAGATTGATATGACATCAATTACTAAGCACTTTATTGAAAAGAACATTGTACTACTTACCTGAGAGATATAATTTTAGAAAAAAAGGATATATTTTAAACCATGCATCAACAAGTGGATTGTCGATTATATTGCCCTCTAATGTTATAATTAAATTTGTAGATATATGAACCACCGTTTGGCACACATTCTCGGTGTGTGCGCGATATTGGCAATCATACTTTTAATAAAAGTATTTCAGTATGCATGTAATATCTGTTTCTTGATGAAAAGTAAGAACACAGGAAAATCTTTATAATATTTGAAACCAGGATTGCACACGAAAGGAGGGATTTCATTTTACAGACTTTGTTATTATCTCAGCCCTTTCTTTCCGTTGTATAATTTCTTACCTGGTTTCCATCATTTTGTCTAAAATTTAATAAAATAAGGCAGCAGTAGCCTCAACCAGATAAAGTAATTGTATCCCAGAAACACTTCTATTTAGCTTGAAGGAGAAGACATGTGTATCAGGTACAGTGGCAGAAACACGTGATAATGGAAGACAATTAAAGTGTTGAAATCTACACCTAATTAACAACCGACATACCCTTTTTTCAATATGTTCAGGTATTTATGTTTGTTTTGAATTTGATTCTATCATCTACGAGGTGGGTTTATGATACTTGTTTCCGATTGGTCAATCTACGATGCAGTATTACGAAAACGCTTTCTAATTGGCCACTAGAAAACGCAAACCGTGGATGACTGACGATATTCTTTCTTCGATCAAGAAGAGGGATGAGTTGAAACAGAGTTTGACGAAAGATAATGATAATTTGATATTGAGACAGTCCTATATCTCCTACAGAAACAGAGTAACTAATCTTATTAAGATCTCTAAAAATCAATATTACACACAAAACTTCATTTTAGCAGGTAATAACTATAGGAAAAGCTGGGATTGTTGCTTCGGATCATAGGATTTGAAAAATTATTTTATAGCTAAACCAGGTGATTTATAATTTCTTGATTTAATATGGAGATTAGAGACTGTTCTTACACAACTCGAATATTTTTTCCGCTAATTTGACAGATATTTTATTACTATATTACTACAAAGACGCCTCCTCCTTGGTTATAGGTTATTATGATCCGAATCAAGATTTTAGATTCCGCGAGTCAATAGTAAAATCCTACATAAAGAACGATCCACTATATATAGTGTCTGTGTGATAAGGGCACCGACCGCGAGTTTTTAAACAATTAAAAAAAAACAAAGGATTACTGTGACAATACTCTCTGAAATGCTTTTGTAAATGGTTGTTTGAAGAACAATTAGGAAACTATTTTCATTTTTCTATATCGTTTTTCGAAGTCAAAAATGGCAACTTCTAAGTTCTAAAACACCTTTTTTTGTTCAGAATGTTAAAAAAATCTAAAAACACTTTGAAGGTAGCGAAGTTTCTGGAAATTCTTTGAATAAACATTTTTTGACGCAGTTTTGAGCCTAATACAGGCACTTGTTATCCGACACGCCAATCACTGTTGATTTTACATAAAGATTTCTGCAAATCTTCACTAATATAATACATTTGTAACTTGTTCAGGTCACCACTATTATGCTCGACGTGTATTGTTTCAGTTTGAATTTGACAATATACACGTAATAGCCTTCAATGTTTATTTTGTGTCACAAATACATACCCAGTAATGTCTTCACAAGCCCAAAAGCGAAGCCACAAAACACAAACAATTAAAGAAAAAAGTGATATTTTGGATCGCTTAAATCGTAGTGAATTCCCCAGTAGTTTAGCAAGTGACTATGTAAAGGGTGATCCATCTGTTGGTTAATTTTTAAATCGATGGTTAAAATGAAAACGCAGAGTTCTTTTTCCAAACGGGTTTTTTTTATTTTCCGGTTAATGATGAAACACAATCTCATTCATATGCGCGCCACGGCTGAGCTTGACGTAGCCGATTCTGCCGACCCTATTTCTCAGTACTTTTTAAAAAGTCTGCGGCATTTTCTCACCAATGGCTGGATGAATATTGGTCTTCAAGTGTTCAATCGTCGCTGTGGCATCCACATACCATTTATCTTTTACGCTTCCCCACAAAAATAATAATCCAACGAAGTTAAATTGCAGCTTCGCGGTGTCATCATGCTTCGATAGCGCACACGAAAAGGGCCAATAATGCCACCAGACCACAAACCATACCAAACAGTCACACGTTGCGGATGCATTGGTTTCTAGGCAATTTCATTTGACTATTCTAAGAATCAAATATGGCAAATATTGCTTATTGACGTAGCCACCAAGATGAAAATGGGCCGCATCCGAAAAAATTGTTTTTCGGTTAAAATGGGGATCCTCGTCCACGCGTCCAATTTTTAGCGCTTCCCACCGTTGTTCAAGCGTATATCGATCCATATTCGTTCACCACAGACTCTTTACTAAATTCCTGTCAAAACAGAACTGATGTAAGTGTCGCCAACCGTAAGATAAGCACTGGTACAAAAATTAATCAACAGATGGATCACCCTTTAGGTAGATCTACAATTTATGACATTAAACAGAACCACGAGAAGATCAAAATCTTCGTGTCAACTACCGACTGTGCGCCAGGCAAAATACAGACACTTAAGAAAGCTGAACACCCAGAGGTGGAGGGAGCTTTGTGCAAGTGGCTTCTTCAGGAAAGAAACAATGATGTGCCCATTTGAGAATCCATGTTGGCCACGAAAGCTAGTTTTTTTACAAGGAGATAATGAAAAAAGATTACTTTTTGACCAGCAGGAATGGCTAGAATGTTTCGAAAGTCGACAATGCATACGTTCCTACAACAACTTTTGAGAAGACTAAAACAATCAAAAAATTAATAAATATTTTAATGCTAATAAATTGATTGTATTTTTAGGTTTTGATTATTCGTTATATCCTGTGAAACCTTATATTTTTAGTACATATATACATTTGTTTGAACAATTATTTCTTAACGTAAATAAGTTTAGTTATTATTTTTTGTAAGTTCCAATGCACTGATGTTATTTTTATAATAAATTGTGATGTTTAATTTACTAAATTCCACATACATATGCATAATTATGTTAGAATGATTCGTAGTTCAATAGATTCTTTGATTTGTGATTATTTGTCGGATTACCAAGTACTGTTATTAAAAAAATTTCGGAATATAGTGGTTCTATAATTCGACAAATTCCATAATCCGACATCACCCTGCAAAACGTTTGTCGGATTACCGCGGGTCCACTGTATTCGTTAAAAGGGACTGTTTTTGAATAAGGTAGTGCAAAAAAGCCGGATCGGAATATTTTTCCGAGCAGATGCGAAGACACTACCTGGACTATTACTACTACTACAATAGCATAAACGCCACCAAACACCACCACACATGTTTACCTTTCGACTCACCTGCCGTGGCCATCATCGCCATAGGATGGAGCCCGGGGAACATCATCGTCTGCGGTGCCATAGCTTGCAGGTCGTTCTCGTAGCTCTGCCTCAATTTGGCGCTGATTTGAGCCTCAGCTCTGCTCATGTTTTCAATGCCACCCTTCACAGTGATGATCCGTTCCAAGTTGAACGAGCTGATGTCGTTGATGCTGGACACGGTGATTTTAGTGTCTGTCTCCTGCATGATGCGCTTGATCGTGTTGCCGCCCTTGCCGATGATGCGACCGATTAGGTTATTGTGGGCTAGGATCTTCAGGCAGATCTCACTGAAAACGATTTATGATTTATTTTGATAACCAAAATTTAAATCTGCTATTTTTTTTTATTACGAAATCATTCATTTGATATTATGGATATACTGAATTAGTATTAACTAATAGAAAATGATTCTTCAACTGCCATAGAGAATGTTATCACCGGTATTACACAGTCAGTCATCATAGATAGTATATACGGCAACTCCGGCTTAATAATGTTTATGTAATGGGAAGATTCGACCTGTAATGTATTATACTATATATACAATAAGTACCACGACAAACTTAAGGAGAAGGTCGGCTTTGGACTGAATTCCCAAATAACACAACTTACCTATATAAAAGTGTCACCGTTTTTGAGATATTGAATTTTTTCTTACATTTTAAAAAAACTAACGTTTTCATCTGTGGTCTTTAGCTGCATGTACAAATAAGGTTATACGTTGTTCATTTTTTCTATAAAATACTTCTAGATAGTTGCTTTATCATATACAAATGAAATGTAGTTAAAAGATATTAAGGAACCATGATAAAATAAAGACTGCTTTGGGATTTATAACCTTCTGATATTTTTCCTCAACTTTCATAAAATCATCAGCAGGTAATAATAATGTAGCTTTATACTATTTAGCATGTCACTGATCGGTAACCAGTGCAACTTGAATTTAAATCCATTAATTACATTTTAGTGTGTGTCAGTCACTGAGTCACTTACAAAAGCAGCTATCACTTTTTTCTATTCCAAATAGTACGCGTGGTGTCTTCCTGAAATCTGTATTCAATGAGAGATGTTTTTATTCAATATAATGCAGTTATAGCCCAGTACGTTTTTGTTTCACCACAGACGTTCAGTTGAGGAAATCAATGTCTCAAAAATGGTGACTTTTATATAGGTAAGTTTTTGATATTTGGGAGGTCTACCTTCTCCTTAAGTTTGTCGGGGTACTTATTGGACACCCTATATATATGGTTGTTGTGTTGGAGGATACGCTCCTTCCAGGTAACTAGCGAGCACTTTAAACGAATATGTACAAGGCAAAAATGAGGGTTCTAATTATTTATGAGCTAAACTGATACTACACAGAGATAAAAATGAAGTATGATATCATTGTTAGCGTGAAATGAGTCAGAATCTAAATCGTCCCATTTTTTAATATAATTCAGCAAAACAACTTTGTTATGGTTGATTAAGGCCCGTATCGTCAGTCGTCCCTACAATAATTGTAGGGCGCCTTTATGGCCTCCTTGATTGTCATAGTTTTCTACTTCTCCGTGTCAGAACTGTATTTTGAGGTTATGTCACAAGCATCTATTTGCATCAGACTGTGCTTGCTTTTGAGTTATATCATGTTTTATCAGCCTGAAATGTCCTACAATTTAAAAAGAAAACATATCTTCACCATAGGAAAGCGCTGACGCTGACACGGGACAAGTGTAATCTAGAAATTTTTGAAGGAGAGATAGGAGTATGACAATCAAGGAGGCCATAAACGCGCCCTACAATTGTAGGGACGACTGACGATACGGGCCTTAAAGTCCCATATTGCAAGTTGAACGTTGTTAGGACCAAAAAACTGACTTACTCGCTCCTCCATCCTCTAGAACCCACAAAATACAATTTTTAAACCATCCGGTTTTTCGTTTTTGGGTTTTTTCTCTGCCGCCACTTCAAAAACTGCACAGCTTATGTGAAAATGTAATCAAAATCTGAACGGTATTTCCCAGGTCATAGGCGGGAGAAGGAATAGCGGTCAGAGACCGACACTTTATTGTGATGTAAATGTCATATAACATCCAAAAAAGACGTTTCATTTTCGTAATTTTCCGCCAGTGGCGTAGGAAGTAAAAAAATATGGGTAGAAAATAAAGGAAACTAAAAATCAACAAGTCTCAAATCTTCATTTTATAGAAAATTGCTTTGTTTGCCAGCTGATATGAATTCTTTGCACTTTCTTAATTTTCATTTATATTATTCGAAATACTGACCCTTTGTTTGTGTTATTTGCTTCCTGCTGCATGACCTCCAGGATCCTCCTGCAAGCATTCGTGCAGTTCTCAGGATTGCCGTAGATGGTGATTGCCTTTTCCAGAGCTCCAACATTATCCTTGCGGTGGACATCAACTCGTGCGCGAGTCTGTTGAGTTATTTGACGAATCGTCGAACCCTGACGACCTATTATGGCGCCCACCTGACAACGATCAAAATAAAATCGTTAGAAATTCCAGATAAATTATAAAAACAAATATCTTTTTTTCGAAAACCAAATTTACATTTTTCACGCTAACGCTGAATATACATTGAGCACGCGCTTAATCAAAAATTGAAAAGCAATAACAATACTCCCTAAAATGCTTTGGGATTTTATTAATGGATGTATGAGGAATATTAAGGAAGTTTGACAGAATGAAAATTATCTTTTTTTCATAGTCTTTCGGGGTCGAAATTTGTGTAGCTCGCACTTATTTAAAAACATATTAGTCGCTTAAACATATAAATAACCTATTAACATTAAAGAGAAGTTCATGAAAACATTTTTTGTTGTTCAGAATGCCCAAAAACCATAGAAAAACTTCGCCCGGAGCATATTTTGGGAATCTGGAAAAAAATTCAATTGTTGACGCAATTTTGGGCCTAGCAACATGCAGATCCGTTAAAAGGAATCCTTTTATAATAAGACCATGCAAACAAAATCCGGAAGAGACTATTTTTCTAAGCGAAAGCGAAGATACTTCCTGGACCAGTTGTTCATCAAAATTTCGAGAGTTAGGCAAGTAGTTTGCTCTTGTTTTGAAATCCGATTATTCCTAGCTACCGCAGCCATTTACCTATTCTTACATTACACATGTAAAAGTGAAATTCGTAAGAATCCATGTACGTTCTCTATTAGGTGGCATCATGACGTCTGGCATTCTGGCAAAATAGAAGCGCTCCATGATCGGTCCGACCGCAACAACCAGCGAGTGTATTTGCTACTATAGTTCATTTGACGTTTTTTGACGGTTACGTCATCTACTATATGAAAAAGTAAGCAAATACTAACTGAACCATGTGTGCAGCTGAAGCTCCATAGAAAAATTACACACTGGGCAAACCGATAACAAACGCATACGCTCTGGTGACAAGCATAGATTAGGAATACTCAAGAAAATTTCCGGGGTGGCGAGACAACACTGAAGAACGTATGTGCTTGCACTATGTCCGCTCAAAGAGGCAGATTGCATAATGTGTATGTGTGCGGGAGACAGATGTATAAAAGTGACAGCGGCAGTTCAAAAATCGGGAAATGTCTCAGTCTGTAATGAGGATCTAGAAAGATTTTTTTGCGAGACCCGGTAGTGAATGGAGCGGGAACAGAGGGAATTTTCCCCTACTCTCGAAGTTACAAGTTACACCGGTTAGATGGCGCATGTTAAGCAAAATGTTTGCTTTAAGCTCCTTGATAAACTTAGCTGTCTTCTTTGAATCTGAAATAAAAAGACCGATCCCTTTTTGAGCAATGTACACACACACACATATATATATATATATATATAGGTGAAAAATTAAAGCTTCCGCCTTTTGTTGGGTACTTCGACATAATTTAAGCAAAGAGGACTCTTTATACTTTTTTTAATTCTCTCTAGCTTTCAATGGACTTTGCCATCATCATCAGGAGCTGCAATTACAATGATAACAGTAGCAATAAAAGTGTAAAATGAATTTAAATTGACTCAACTTACAGTAGTATGTGAGGATGTTGCTAATTGTTGTTTACGTATAGGATGAGGGAAACGTCCAGTAACATGGTGAGAGCTGGATAGATTGTACAATGGTCAAAATTATATAAAATATGACAAGAACAAGTTAAAAACAGATTAAAAATTATTTAAAAAACATTAGAGCATTACATCGTGAAGCCACTTGATGATTGCACAAATTAGTGGTCATGGAATAATGAGTGAGATGAAACCCTTTGACAGAAGGCCGAAGGATGTCAATGTCTGTGTTGAAAGATGGAACGAATTGTGGGCGTGTGCCAAACGTTGCCAAATCACTTCAGATGATGTGATTTTCAGAATTTTATGTAAGAATTTGTTAAACCGACCAGAGGCAGTTGAATAAACTATTGTTGTTACAACTGAGTGTCATTTACTCATATTTGCTTAACTGCGAAAAATTGGAGAACTTACATATCTCCCCAAATTTCGACTCTTCACAACCATAATTAGAATCTGTGTTTTGGCCGATTCCACCAGTAAATTTCATTCCATTCAAAATATAATAATTCTCTTCTCACGATTTATTAATAATTGTTAATTTAAATTCCCATTAATTAAAATATAGTTTATTCAACTGCCTCTGGTCGGTTTAACAAATTCTTACATAAAATTCTGAAAATCACATCATCTGAAGTGATTTGGCAACGTTTGGCACACGCCCACAATTCGTTCCATCTTTCAACACAGACATTGACATCCTTCGGCCTTCTGTCAAAGGGTTTCATCTCACTCATTATTCCATGACCACTAATTTGTGCAATCATCAAGTGGCTTCACGATGTAATGCTCTAGTTTTTTAAATAATTTTTAATCTGTTTTTAACTTGTTCTTGTCATATTTTATATAATTTTGACCATTGTACAATCTATCCAGCTCTCACCATGTTACTCGACGTTTCCCTCATCCTATACGTAAACAACAATTAGCAACATCCTCACATACTACTGTAAGTTGAGTCAATTTAAATTCATTTTACACTTTTGTTGCTACTGTTATCATTGTAATTGCATCTCCTGATGATGATGGCAAAGTCCATTGAAAGCTAGAGAGAATTAAAAAAAATATAAAGAGTCCTCTTTGCTTAAATTTTGTCGAAGTACCCAACAAAAGGCGGAAGCTTTAATTTTTCACCTAACTGGTCTAGACGACAATGACCACGTCTCAAGTTATATATACAAGTATATATATATATATATATATATATATATATATCAATAAAATCAACCGTTTGATATGACAAACGCGGTTCCTATATCTATCATGACCTTCTCCTTTGTCAATTAAAATCAGGTGGACCTGTTCCTCTATTTATGATTCAATAATTTAAATCAATTTTCGGCACTGCGAAGACAAATTTTCAATTGAGATGTATGTTTTTTTAAATGACATTGACATAAGACCTCCCACCCGCTAGTATATCACCGACGTTAGGCGGTTAACCGTACCACGTGATTTTTAGACATTTGGATGACGTCACATCCTTCTTCCCATATTCCCGTTCTTCACGAAAATTTGAGTATCAGTTCCCGGCATGGGTATCATGTAAAAAAACCTATAAGATGTCATCTTGCAAACTAGGTAGTTTTTAGGGCGCAGTCATTCCATCGTTGTGAACGTCCATCTAAGGAGGAATCACTCAACTAAACTACACACATTACTGGTTGCATATGTTTGTGAGGCCAAACGGTCTTTATCTGCAGTTTTTATCTCTGAGAAGAAAGTTGGTTGAATAGCAAGATCGCATCTGGATGATTCTGTGTATTGGTCTGCATGTGTATAAAATCAGTGATATTTGCTGTGTGAGAAAATCATTACTGAATATGCTGCCAATGAAGTATATCTATTAGGTTATTTATACGTTGTACTTTCTGAAGAGAGGTTATGTTCAAAGTTATAAATTACGAATAAACTGAGAAGAATTACGGGAAATCATCACAGCGCCCGCGTTGTGTGTAATCACTGTTAGCATGTATATGGCTTGTAATTCGACAGTGTACAGTGAATATAATTATTTCTTATCTCTCTCATTTTAGAAATTCAACAAATTTGTATATGTAATTTCCAGAATGTATAAGAAAAAGTGGATGCGCAACTAATTTCTAGCTTTGGATCTCAATTAAGTGTATTTGAGACAAGAACTCAATGTAATTATCATCAACATATACAACTTACAGCTTAGACCTCCAGTAATGCCAGATTTTACATCACATCGGAGCCAAAGATTGATAACAAGCCTCATGACGTTTAGGCAACACATACAACTAAGTGTTGAGTTAATATCTCATAGAAAAACCTACATAATGTCAAAAAAAAACAGCATAATGTCAAAAAAAAATCGGCATAATGTCACTTTTCAAGATATGTGATACCCATGCGGTACTGCATTGGGCTACACCGTAGACTCGTGAAAAAATCCTTGAAGTGCACTTGACATATCAATTTTTTGAAAGTTCTGCCATTAAATTCGTATTTATAGTGTTATTTCTGAAAAGTGCGAGATAATTGACTAGTTCAATACATGGTACCTCTTACATAATTTGCAAAGAGCGGCAGAAGCCTAATGAAGATAGATGTTTCAACCGGTAAGTATTATTATTGTGTTGATACAACGCTGTCACATTTTTAGGTATTTATAGTTAAATAAGTAAAAAATCCGCACTAAAACTACGCAATTTTGGCGACAATTCAATGTAAACATATGGGCTTGGATCCTAATATATATGAATTCGTTACTCTACAACTATAAGGCTGTCATTTGTAAAATGTTAGCAACAATATGTCCTTTATCGATTTAGTTGAATGAAAATGCCACAGTAATGCTGAAATTTCGCATTCGTCACTATCTGTTCAACTATATTTTCAGCTTTAAAAAATCTCAAGACCAATAGCTTTTACAGCATCTTTAGAAAAACGATTACCAAATCACTCACCATATCACTTTGTACAAGTATCCTAAGAGGGAAATCAGTCTGTCTGCTCTGTCCGGGCAGCCCCCCAAATGCTGAAGGTCCCCTAGGTCCTCGCCTACCCTTTTTATCTACCGCCATTTCTACTTTGATGGGTTTACCATCGACATCGATGCCGTTCAGTTGACTGGCGGCTCTACAAAAAAAAAATGACACTCAAATACTATAATCAAAAGTTTTTAATATTGAAAAATGTAATTGGGAAGTTTTAAGTGCCTTATAACCATATATTTTGGCGTTGTTTTTTCTCACGGTTAGCGACGAATTGTGTTTCCCTTGTTAGGGTTATCTAGGGGACAGGATCTCCGCCTATTCCGTCTTTTCCCAATGGGTCCGACTTGATGAGGGGTCACATGCCCCAAATATTAAAAATCAACCTCCCCCAGCGCTTAAATTTTCCTTAGCAGCAACGTAGGGCCCCGGATCCGCTGTGTCCTGTAGCATCTTCAGCCGCAGACCCTGGAGCTCCTTTGTGCTCAGGGGGCCCTACATGGTCTAAGTAGGGAAATTTCCCTATATCTAGGGAATTACGAGCAAGCTTAGGGAAAAATGGAAATTTATTTAAAATTGCAAAAAATCTAGGGCATTCTAAACTCTGTAAGACAATTTTAAGCAGCAGGGACAAAAAATAAATGAGAGAGAGAATAAACTAAGAAACAAATATATTACTGTTAAGATACCTTCCAATTGTACCTATAAAATATGATTCAAAATATATTAAAATGTACGAACACTAAATTATATCAACAAACCGGTCGGAAATCATAACTCATAACATTCGGGGAATTACTAAGCGAAACGCTGTGGTTCCCCGTGGGTGATTCCTCATCGGTGATTCTTCGTCGGTGATTTCCCGTCGGTGAATACCAGAACCGGTATTTTACATACGGAGAAATACCTGGGTTATAATATAATATATAATCCGCCGGGTGGTTTCTGTTGCATTTCCTGCTGTTTATACGTAATTGAACGGATTATGCCCTGTGCTAACTGTGCCTTAGAATAACTGTTGTTTTTAGTTTGTGCTCTAAAATTATTAACGAATCATTAAAGTTTTTCGACATTGAACTTATTTGCCATAGTAAGTACCTATTTATTTATTATAAAATAATTACTTTTCCGATTATTATACTTGATCGGGGAGGTACTTCAGAATTTACTCAGAAATTAATTATCTAGTATAGTATTAAAGTTAATGAAAAAATATTTCTATAAATTAATGAAATATTGTATCTTAGACATACATGTTATAATAGACATATATATGATCTATGTATTTTAAACGAAACTTATAAATTTGTTTGCTATTGTTTCTTTATAATCACAGATGTAACATCATGTCCTCAATTACAGCTCAACCATCAACCTCTAAACATGCTGATCTTCCGTCTTCTTCTGAAGAAGCTGGACACATAAGAAAAAAGCAAAAAAATCATTAAGTCCTATTCTCAGAAATATACCGCTGCATGGGAACAAGAACAGCAAGAAAGGGTCCAATTATGCATGCTGCAAGGCATGCAATAAAGATTTTATATGTGGCAAATCCTAAATCCAGAAACATTTTTCAGGAAAACAACACACCAAATTTGTAAAATCATTAACCACACAGAAAACTTTTACTGATATGACATCTTATATAGAAAAAATATCTTTAAATAACAAAACCAAAACTGCTGAAATTCGAATTGCAGCATATGCAGCTGAACATAACATTTAATTTAATACTTCAGACCATTTATCAGAAATTATTAGAATATCATTTGACGATTCAGAGATTGCTAAAAATTTCACATGTTCTCGCACCAAAGCTACAGCTCAATAATGTTTTAGGGCAGTACAGTTTTTAATATTCTATTAATTTATTACAAACCAATAAATTTTCATTACTTGCTGATGAATCTACCGATTAAAAATTAAACATCTAGCTTTAGTGTAACGTATTTTTTATGAACATAAAATTACTGACTTGTTCTTTGGTATATAGCCTGTAGCAGATGCAACGGCAGAAGGTCTTTACAACACTATTGTAAATTATTTTTTAAAATGTAATATTAATTATAAAGAAAATCTAATAGGCTTTGCATTAGATGGTGCAAGTGCTATGATGGGAATTCATAATTCATTATCCACCAAACTAAAAGCCGAGATTCCTAATGTATTCATTATGAAATGTGTCTGTCATTCATTTAGTTCATGTGTTAATTGTGATTGTGCTAAATTACCAGATGATATTGAACGGCTAGAGATGTTCATACGTATCTACAATACAGTTTTAAAAGAAAAACTGAATTTGCAGAATTTCAGGAGTTTGTAACAGTAAAACCTCAAAAATTTTTACAACCCTTTCAACCAAGGTGGTTGTCTTAATTGCCTGTTGTAAAAAGAATACTTGAGCAATATGATGCTTTAAAATTATTTTTTACAGATCAGTGCTACAATAAAAATGGCATTCAAGCACAAAATATCTTGAATTTTCTTCGAAATCCATCTACCATATTGTATTTACATTTTTTAAACTTTGTGCTGCCGTTTTTTATGGAATTAAATTGAAGAAATGGAATCCGAAAATATTAAAATACACATTTTATATTTAAACGAGTTGAACATGTGTTAATAACAATTTTGGATTGTTACATGAAAAAGGATTATTTAGATAAAACTTTGATTGAAAAAGTAGAATATAAGAATCCTCATAATTTTGTGGAAATAGAAAATATTTATTTAGGTGTCTATGTAACAGGTGCTATAAGCAATAATGAACATAAACTAAATGATGCAGAATTATTTGACTTCTGAAAGAGGTGTTTAGATTTTTTAATAGAAAGTTGTTTTCAAATTTATAAAAGATTTGATAATAAAAGCAAAACTGTCACTACTCTAAAACATATGTCACTTATATCAGCAGATGACGTAATTGCAAAAAAGCAAGCATCATTAGGGCCTTTAGTTTTCCATTTTCCCAATTTGACAACTGATAATGTAAATGAAATAGACAAAGAATGGCGTTGCCTCAGAAATCTTGATTTAAGTGAATATACAAATTTAAGCGTTCAAGAATTTTGGTAAAACATTTCAACATTAAACTCTGGTGATGATTCTCTTATGTTTCCAACCTTAACTAATTTTGTGTTTAATCTGTTTAGTTTGCCACATTCAAGTGCAAATGTCGAAAGGATATTTTCCTAAATAAATCTAAACAAAACTAAAATAAATAAATTATCGACTGAAAGTTTAAGTGGAATTTTACAAACCAAAGTTTTATTGAAAAATGACAGTTGCTACAACTTTAGCATCCCTAATGATTTGTTTAGAAGAATGGATTCGTCAATGTACAATAAAACTCAAAATTAAATTACAATAGCTACTTTTGATTATTTTGTTTTTTGTTTTCTTAAAAACAAAATATTTTATGTTATGCTATGTTCGTTCGCTATTTATACAGAATAATATTTTTTTATATTTTTTATAATATGTATACTTATGTTATCATCTATTTTAATTTATATTATATATTTTAAGAAATACCTGTTACGTTAATTAAACTAATTATACGTAAAAAAATTGTTTGCATTTGTTTATCAATACTCCTACCCAAAATAACAAACAATATTAAGATGAATATTAAATACAGGTATATAAAAGGAATTCTAAAATAAACATGGTCTTTTAAGTTGTAAAAATAATCGTTTGGCAACACTGACTCAGCCGTGACGTGACAGTGCTGTGACTGGCACGTGATCCAACCGGCGAAACTAAAAAGATTCTTCCTGGAATTTGGATGAACTGATTCACACTAAACCGGCACGTGGAAGTGGCCGTGTTCTCAGTGCCCTCGACGACGCCGTACAGTGATCATCGCATTGTTTTGGAAGGATATTTTTAGATTTTCACGGCCATGTTTTTATGTAATTTCGTGAATGTTTTTATATATTTGGTCAAAAACATGAATGATGAAAAGCTAATTGAATTTGTGCGCGCACACCTTGTGCAGTAGAACCAGCCAAATTCAAAATACATGGACTTCCGTTTTCTTCTCGTTTCTTCTTCTTCAAATTTTGCCATTTCGAGCTCACGTGAACACAACTGCACTGTAAGAGCTGTAGCTGTAGCTTTGGTGCGAGAACATGTGAAATTTTTAGCAATCTCTGAATTTCTGATAAATGGTCTAAAGTATCAAATGAAATGTTATGTTCAGCTATCTGCATAGCTGCAATTCTAATTTCAGCAGTTTTGATTTTGTTGTTTAAAGATATTTTTTCCATATAAGATGTCATATTAGTCAAAGTTTTTTTGTGTGTGCAATGATTTTACCAATTTGCCACATATAAAATCTTAATTGCATGCCTTGCAGAATGCATAATTGGACCCTTTCTTGCTGCTCCTCAGCCAATCTTTAAATTCAAGTTCTTCTTCCCATGCAGCGGTATATTTCTGGGTAAAGGACTTTATGATTTTTTTCTTTTTTCTTATGTGTCCAGTGTGTTGACGGTTGAGGTGTAATTGAGGACATGATGTTACATCTGTAATTATAAAGAAACAATAGCAAACAAATTTAGAAGTTTGGTTTAAAATACATAGAACATAGATATACATATTATAATATGTATGTCTAAGATATCAATATTTTATGAATTTATAGAAATAATTTTTTATCAACTTTAATACTATATAATTAATTTCTGAGTAAACTCTGAAGAACCTCCCCGATCAAGTATAATAATTGGAAAAGTAAATATTTTATAACAAATAAATAGGTACTTACCTATGGGAAATAAGTTCAATGTCGAAAAACTTTAATAATTATTCGTTAATAATTTTAGAGCACAAACTAAAAACAATAGTTATTCTAAGGCACAGTTAGCACAGGGCACAATCCGTACAATTGCATATAAACAACAGGAAATGCAACAGAAACCACCCGGCGGACTATATAATTTTATTATAGCCCAGGTATTTCCTCGTATGTAAAATACCGTTCTGGTATTCACCGACGGGAAATCACGGATGGGGAATCACCGGTGAGGAATCACCGACGGGGAACCACAGCGTTTCGTTTACTAATTCCCCGAATGTTATGAGTTATGATTTCCGACCGGTTTGTTGATACAATCTGGTGTTCGTACATTTTAATATATTTTTAATCATATTTTATGGGGACAATCGGAAGGTATTTTAAAAGTAATATATTTGTTTCTTAGTTTATTCTCTATCTCTCATTTATTTTTTGTCCCTGCTGCTTAAAATTGTCTTAATTGTCTCTAGATTTTGTACAAATTTAAATAAATTTCCCTTTTCCCCTAAGCTTGCTCGTAATTCCTTAGATATAGGGAAATTTCCCTAGGTCTGGTAACACTGTACCACCGTACCACCTAAGGATAATCACAACATTCATAGCCAAGAGAAAATTCCTCTTGGGAGGGGATTCGAACCCGTACGGCTCATGGCGACTGATTAGGAGGCTTTCAGCCTTAGCACATCTCATATGAAGTATGGAAAAGTAACGAAAAACTACCTGAACACACTCACCAAACCTCAACAGCATCTTGAAAACATCCACCATAAATTAATACCATAACGATCCAAATATGGCTGTGAACATTAGGGAAAGTATACTACAACTGTGTGATCAACTAAAACCTGATAGTATAGCAGTAATTGATAGCCTTGCACCACCAGACTATGTGGTACATTCTGTACTGGGAAAGTCTGACGGAAAGCTGTACGAGAACCTTCAGACGGCCATAATGCACGGCCCTGGGGCCATGTCAAGGCCCTCATGGTGGCAGCAGATAGTGGACACTACACCATTCATGAAATTACAAAGCAAACTCTAACAACTCCGCTGGATTTTTCATTAAGAAGAACCGACACAAGAAAAATAAGTAACAGTACGATAAAATTGTGGTTATCATGGGTAGAAATGGACAATGCTCATGGAGCAAGAGCAATCAATTTTGAGCAAAGGTTTAAGAACTTCGAAAATCATTTAATTCAGGAATCGTTCTAATACGCCCAAAGCCCCGAACAATTCACATATTCTAATAAATCCATCGTTAGTTTTAGGTTATGCCGAGGCTCTTTAAAAAGGCAGACGTAACAAAAAAAATTTCAGATCAACGCGTAAATTGAACTATTCGTTCCCCAATACAGTGCAGTGCGCGTGCAAGCAACGGCGGGTAATAGCTACCCATCGTGAACCAGATAGACTTCACAGTTAGGGACATCATGGATAAAAAGTGAATAAAGGATTGGCCCTAGGACCGAGCCCTGAGGAACACCGGGCCGTACTGGGCGTGTTATTGACAAAACATTGTTAATTTTGATCCGAAACTTCCTTCCTTCAAGAAAGGATTACAGTAATTTTAGAAGCCAAACAGGAAAACCCTTTTGGATTAGTTTATAGAGGAGACCCGCATGCCACACCTTGTCAGAGGGTTTTTAGACATCCAAAAGCAAGATTCTAGTACTCATGCTGAGGGTGAACCCTCTGGTTACATGTTCCACCAGCCTGACTGCCTGTAGCTCGGTGCTATGCTCGGACCGAAAACTGAATTGAACGTCAGGAATCACGTGGTGATTTGACAAAACAATTTCAAGGTGGCGATATATCACCTTTTCGGCGAGCTTAGTAAGAGCTGACAGCAGACTAATGGGACGATAATCCTGAAGAAATATCGAACCCACTTTCGTTGGAATCACCTCAGTAGTGTTCCACCCAGCAGGGAAGTACTGGATTCTGAGCATCGCATTGATTATTGTCACCAAGGTGCTTGAGGTCTTTAATGTGACTTAGGAGCTCCGATGGTGTGCAATGTCGAACCTCTGAGGGTTCCGCTAATGTGCTATGTGGAGCCTCAGACGAATCGTCTAAAGAAGAGTCATATGAAGAGGATTCAGTGCCTTCGCTAACACCGTTGGCCCTAAAATATCTCCTGACGGATCGTACGATGTGTTGTTCCTCGTCGAGGTCATTATCAAAATCATAGTTGGGAGAGGCAGCAGCGGTGGCCGCAGTAGTAGACTCTTCGGACTCCTGATCAGTCGCCGTGCGCTGTGCGGGTTCGAGTCCCGTCCCAGGAAAAATTTTTCTCTTGGCTATGGATGTTGTGATTGTCCGTAGGTGGTAGACGGTCTCTGACTGTCGAACGTGGAGGTACCACGGGCGGATCTCGTAGGCGGAGCCAGAATGTGTGCATGTTGCATAAACACGTGTTCCCTCGCCAGAATCCGTGTGGCGTTCTCCCTTTCCCCTGTATCCCCCTATAGCCCCACGGTACCCAATGGGTGTTTAGGCCTTAGGCCTTCGTGGTAGTTGGAGTATAAAAAAAAATATATATATATATATATGTGTAAATAGATAATCGATTTACCTACACGACGGGTCAAATACTGATACGCGTCAACTCTTCTACCTGAACAACGAGTGGAATATAGGACCGAACAGGCCTAAACAGATTCTTTTTGGACCTAATATCTCGGTTATCTTATATCTTTGGTATATTTATGTGTTACAAGGAAAATTTACTTACAACTGTAAACTCCAAACTTAAAGGAAACGCTCTTTCACCTAGTTATACAGTTTTTATTTTCTAAGTTTAGGCATTCAAAATTGCAAAAGGATTTTACGCATTCTAAAAATTTCAAAAATAATCAAAAAATAACACTTACTCCTGTGCCTGTTCCAATGTTTCGTACATAATGGCGACAGTTTGAGTGTTTGGGTCCTTAGATGTGAGTTTGTCACAGGACACCACTCGGCCATGTTGGGACAGCAGATGTTCGATATCTTCAAACCGCACATTGCCGCTCAGGTTCGAAATGATGATTTTTGGCGGTTGGCTGAAACAACATTTCAAAATTAGATACAAAATTATTTCTTGTTATGTGAATCTTGGAATAATCAACCACAGCGAACTTCCTTTAAAACGACCATATTAGGATTCAAAAAATGGCCCCCTGAGAAAAACGTCAGTTACACAGGTCCATTCAATTAGTCCAGAGACTCTTTCCTCACCCTACCGGTAGTGCATCTGGAAACGTCGCCTCACTCCGATACCTAACTCGGGCAATCATAGCACCATGGTAACTCGGACAGAGCATAGAAACAATATATATACTGTTGCGCGGTTTAAATACGTGTGATTCCATACCAGAATACGTTATCACGGTCGGCGCACGACGCCAGCAGCAGCCGCAACCAATTAAGTAGGTACGGTTATCCGCCTCCCGAGAATATTTTTCCGTTTTCAGGGCTAATGTACATAGAAATGTAAGATGTTTGGAATATGTCTAATAGATGCGTAGAATTATCAATGTTAAAAACGTATAAATATACCAGCACCAAAAAATTTAAATAAACTCTCCACATTCCCTTGCTACACCCACCCCCAGTTTTTTACCACTTATTTTTTTCCAAAAATGATCAGGATCCTCTGAGAAGTCAAAAAAAAGAAGTTTGATCAATTTTTGCTTTTTACGTTTTAGGCCTTTTTCTCTGCTGCCACTGGACCAATTTTAAAAAACTACAAAGCTTTTGCACCCTTAGCATAATATCGAGAAAAAAAATTCATCGAAGTCCAAGCGGCACTTCTCAAGTTATAGGCGGTTATAAGATTATTGGACAGACCAACGGAAATGAACGACATGGCTTTTGGCGGTTTACATGTCATCCAAAAAATATAATATCTCATTTTAGAAAATTGATACACTGATACACACGGATACGCTGATAACATTTTGTTCCATGCTCTCAAAAGAAATCCTCCGCCATCCTCACAAAAAAGAAGTAACTAAAGATGTCAGTACTTTTCCATTGGTGCCGATTCAAAGTTCGATCAACCCGTATTCGGATGCCCAGTCTGCAAGCTTCTGTTGGGTCACTAACATTTAATTGTGAGAGACTGCGATACAACCACGTTTTTATCTAATCTAAACCTTGCAGATTTTTGATGACTACACAGTTCGCGGTATCTCCATGACGAGTAGGGATTATATAACACGCAGACTTCATACGTTTAACTTTGACGAGAAAATTCCGTTCATTTTTCTTTTTTCCTTGTCCGAATAAAATAGTCGAATAAATTGTTGGTAAAAACGTTTTATATTACCTGGCAGTCTCCACAAAAAAGTAACGAGGATATTGATAGGTTTTGATCCATTCAAACATATGACATAATCAAGTAGGTTGACTCGGTAATGCCGATGCACTAATGTGTAATATCGTTGGTTACTGTATTCTACCTTAAGTAGCAGAATACAAAATGAATTTAGAAATCTACTTTGAAGAGAGTTAAGAGTGTCTGGTTCTGCTGCTGGCAATGGATCTTCAATTCTTTTTTGACACATTCCTAATGGCTATTTTAATTGGGTATCTTCAGGTGGAAAACGTTAATCAATGTCTGACCATACCCAATTAAACTAGGCATTAGCAAGGCGTCAAAAGAGATTGAAAATCTCAGCGCCATCTATGAGACAGAAGTAGTATCTTTCAGATCCTCTTTTTAAAACCCGGTATACAGTATATTTGTTGGCTACCCTCACGTAGAATACGTTAATTATTATTAAGTATATATTATATAATTGAAATTCGGACGGGTGCTTTCTTTGAAATGTGGCCTTTGAAATTAATGGCGAACAGGTACTTGTTCAATAAATAAAACTCAAGGTATTACCTGCGTAATAGTTCGCAATTTTCTCCCTAACCATAACAAAGTTTTCCATGATACCTCTCTCGCCCATACATATCGCTTTACTTCCCACGCCTGCTGTCGAGGAAGTATTGCGATTGCAAAAAATTTCGACAATAGGATATTATGTTTTTTGGATGTTATATGACATGTACCTCACGAAAAACCATGCCACTCATTTCCGTCAGTCTATCCGCTCGGATTTTGATGACATTTCCACACTATGGTAAGGACAGCACTATATTTTTTGAAAATCGGACTTGGAACTAGGGGCAGATACAAAAAAAAAAAAACTAGATCAATCTTCATTTTTTGGCGTTTCAGGAACTCCCGCCATTTTCAGAAAAAAATTGTGGGGGTTGTAAGAGTATATCTCTACATATATAATTTTTGGATTTTAGTTTATGTATGTACTCGGAACTCTGGTAATTATTCGGACCTATGTTATTTGACACATCATAGATTTCCACGATACACATACACTGAAGATAGGATATTGCGCATGTGGGCGGCTTCGTGACGTCACCCGGAGAGTTGTCGGCTCGTGGTTACCAACGGCAGGATTGTCGTAACGTTACTGCAGTTCACGTGTATCGTGGTTAATACTATATAGTGCGATTTGTTGGTGTTTTTTGGTGGTTTTGTGACCTGTTCTATTAGGTATTCATATTTTATATAGCCTGTGAGTTTGATAAATTGTTAAAAATGCGGTGTGCTGTTGTGGGATGTAATTCCGACAACCAGTCTAAACGGAATCCTTGCAAAGACATAAAGTTCCACAGTTTTCCTCAAGACCCAAACCTTAGCAAAAAATGGCTACATCACACAAAAAGAAAAATCAAAGCCAGTGTGAAAAGCGCTAGGGTTTGCTCAAAGCACTTTTGTGAAAGTGCCTATAAAGTCAATTTGAAACATACCCTTTTGGCTTACATCCCTAAAAGATATCGTGCTCTAAAAGATGATGCCATTCCTATGGAAAATTTACCAAGTCTCTATCATCACCTGGACCATCTACATCTGTTAATGGGGAAAAGCGGAAAAGTGCTTACGAAAACAGGCAAATGGCTCAACTTATCCCCTAGAGTTTAAGTATAGAATAAGGTCATATATTTTGGGGTGAAACGAAGGCGCATACTCAGAGTATTGCAGCGTAGAGGAAGAGGATACTCGGGACATTCCACTAACCGCATCATTAACGAATAAACTGAATGCACCTGAAGTATCAGCTGACTATAACGAGGAAGTTTTAGTGGAAGAAATGGATGAGCTCGAGTATGATGGGCTGAAAAATTTGGCCGGCTTTGTTTGCCATAAATTGCAGGATGACAGGTTGAAAAGTTCCTCAAATGAACCTTACTCCTGGATAGACCATCTTAGTGAGAGTGAATTATCAAAACCTTCCACAGCTTTCATGAATCAAATTGAGAAGCTTAATAAAGTGTTTACTACATTCAATGGGGACGAAATAGTGACCGACAAGCAAAATTTTATAGGCGAACTTCTGTTGAAGACTAAGTCATTACCATTTATTGTTATACTGCCAGCCTACTGCAAAAAGATGATAACTCCATTTTTCTACTTTTCGAGTTGCGTACATTTTCACACTTGCATGTAGTTACTACTTAGAATGTTCTGTGAAATAAGGACGAATAAATGTCATGCAGTATTAACGTCATGAGCAATGTTAATCCTGCTCCACAGAACATACTAAAATATAGGTAATATAGAAAAATCTTGTTTTTACAGTAAAGTGACGATACACGCTCTATTGTGGAGCTAGAAAGGCGTTTAAGCTATAGCCTGTGAGGTAGGAATTACCCGGTTGAAATCTTTTATTCAAATCCGCCATTTTGTTTTGTATGAAATTTTAATGTAGATTGTGTCACTCACACTAAGACGAATCCAACGACACCTCATATGTGAAAATCTATCAAGCCGTTTGAGCTGATAGCGTATGAAATATGAACTACAAGGTTGAAATCTTTTACTAAAATCCGCCATTTTGTTTTGTATAAAATTTAATATATATAGTGTCACTCGCACCGCTAAGACGAATCCAACGACACTTCATATGTGAAAATCCGTCCAGCCGTTTGGCCTGTAGGTGAAAATATGCACGTTTTCCATATCAACCCAAATGATAATCACTCTCCGCGTGACGTCATGCGCGCCGGCGGACGAAAATGGACCAGCGGAGCATCCGGCACTGTAGATTTCCCAGTACATTTGCCCTTACAACTTGAATGGTAGAGAAATGTTTTTGATGCGCGTCTCTCCTGCTTCCTGGGTTCACCGGCAGGTGATCCGGTCCCTATGAGACCCTACTACCCCTACTACCGGTAGGTCAGAAAAAGAATATATATGGACGAATTTTATGGCCATATTTAACTGACTTGATCCGTTTGATTTCTGTTGTACATGTTGGTAGCTAACTTTTTTCTCAGAAGGTCTAACTTACGCTGAGCATAATCCTTTATAAACTGATGACAGAGTTTCATCGGAAATGCTGAGTCAGCGTACTTGACGCTATTTTTTATACATACTCTTTTATGCAAGAAATATGTCTCGTCTTGCCCGTGAAGAATGAATCGGAAGCAGCTTATTTCACGGACAGAGCTTGTAAAAATTTATAATAATATTCAATTTTGCATACAAGGTGTCCGGAAATGCAAAATCGACGAAACTGATTTTGAAACCCGAAAATGTCAAATGCAGGAAGTTGTAATGTTACCGTGAACACGTGTATGACCGCAAGCCATGGATAATTTGAATAAATGATATTATTTACAACAAACGTCTTTTAATAAAAAATTAAAGTACGGAATGATATTTACATGTACCTATACTCATTAGTTTAAATTCTGGGAATGGCTTCTATCCATATCACTAACTTTCGCTGGACTTAACTGCCGCTCTTCCCGTAGCAGGGTTATCTCACTGACCGCTGTGCTGATTTTGATGAGATAGCTGTTATACAGGGTGGGAGTTGTTACGGACAAAAAAATCATTTATATCCGATGTCTAAATTGTAAGTTCTCAAAATAACATAAACAAAATATTGAAGTATTTGATTGTCAATTAGACAACGTTTGGATAGTTTTATTTTCAAGATTTTTCTTTTCTGAATTTTGGAATGGTTGCCACAAAGGAAGG